AGAGAGAGGTAGACATAGCCAGAGAGGGAGGGAGAGGTAGACATAGCCAGGGAGGGAGGGAGAGGTAGACATAGCCAGGGAGGGAGGGAGAGATAGACATAGCCAGTGAGGGAGGGAGAGGTAGACATAGCCAGGGAGGGAGGGAGAGGTAGACATACCCAGGGAGGGAGAGAGAGGTAGACATAACCAGGGAGGGAGGGAGAGGTAGACATAGCCAGGGAGGGAGAGAGAGGTAGACATAACCAGGGAGGGAGGGAGAGGTAGACATAGCCAGGGAGGGAGAGAGAGGAAGACATTGCCAGGGAGGGAGGGAGAGGTAGACATAGCCAGGGAGGGAGGGAGAGGTAGACATAGCAAGGGTGGGAGGGAGAGGTAGACATAGGCATGGAGGAGGGACAGGTAGACATAGCCAGGGAGGGAGAGAGAGGTAGACATAGCCAGGGAGGGAGGGAGAGGTAGACATAGCCAGGGAGGGAGGGAGAGGTAGACATAGCCAGGGAGGGAGGGAGAGGTAGACATAGCCAGGGAGGGAGGGAGAGGTAGACATAGCCATGGAGGGAGGGAGAGGTAGACATAGCCAGGGAGGGAGGGAGAGGTAGACATAGCCAGGGAGGGAGGGAGAGGTAGACATAACCAGGGAGGGAGAGGTAGACATAGCCAGGGAGGGAGGGAGAGGTAGACATAGCCAGGGAGGGAGGGAGAGGTAGACATAGCCAGGGAGAGAGAGGTAGACATAGCCAGGGAGGGAGGGAGAGGTAGACATAGCCAGGGAGGGAGGGAGAGGTAGACATAGCCAGGGAGGGAGGGAGAGGTAGACATAGCCAGGGAGGGAGGGAGAGGTAGACATAGCCATGGAGGGAGGGAGAGGTAGACATAGCCAGGGAGGGAGGGAGAGGTAGACATAGCCAGGGAGGGAGGGAGAGGTAGACATAGCCAGGGAGGGAGAGGTAGACATAGCCAGGGAGGGAGGGAGAGGTAGGCATAGCCATGGAGGAGGGAGAGGTAGACATAGCCAGGGAGGGAGTGGTAGACATAGCCAGGGAGGGAGGGAGAGGTAGACATAGCCAGGGAGGGAGAGAGAGGTAGACATAGCCAGGGAGGGAGAGAGAGGTAGACATAGCCAGGGAGGGAGAGAGAGGTAGACATAGCCAGGGAGGGAGGGAGAGGTAGACATAGCCAGGGAGGGAGAGAGAGGTAGACATAACCAGGGAGGGAGGGAGAGGTAGACATAGCCAGGGAGGGAGAGAGAGGTAGACATTGCCAGGGAGGGAGGGAGAGGTAGACATAGCCAGGGAGGGAGGGAGAGGTAGACATAGCAAGGGAGGGAGGGAGAGGTAGACATAGCCATGGAGGAGGGACAGGTAGACATAGCCAGGGAGGGAGAGAGAGGTAGACATAGCCAGGGAGGGAGGGAGAGGTAGACATAGCCAGGGAGGGAGGGAGAGGTAGACATAGCCAGGGAGGGAGGGAGAGGTAGACATAGCCAGGGAGGGAGGGAGAGGTAGACATAGCCATGGAGGGAGGGAGAGGTAGACATAGCCAGGGAGGGAGGGAGAGGTAGACATAGCCAGGGAGGGAGGGAGAGGTAGACATAGCCAGGGAGGGAGAGGTAGACATAGCCAGGGAGGGAGGGAGAGGTAGACATAGCCAGGGAGGGAGGGAGAGGTAGACATAGCCAGGGAGGGAGTGGTAGACATAGCCAGGGAGGGAGGGAGAGGTAGACATAGCCAGGGAGGGAGGGAGAGGTAGACATAGCCAGGGAGGGAAGGAGAGGTAGACATAGCCAGGATGCCTACTCGGAGCGCTGCTATCTGCTCCTCGAAGATGTCTTCCTTCCTGCCTCGCTCCATCTTTTCTACTCAACGTCCAGAAGTTAACTTTAATCCCAGTGTTCTTCTCCGTAGCTAGTGGTGCTCAGGTGATGTGAACACTGGTGGTGTGAACACTGGTGGTGGTGGTGCTCTGGTGGTGTGAACACTGGTGGTGGTGGTGCTCAGGTGATGTGAACACTGGTGGTGGTGGTGCTCTGGTGGTGTGAACACTGGTGGTGGTGCTCTGGTGGTGTGAACACTGGTGGTGGTGGTGCTCTGGTGATGTGAACACTGGTGGTGGTGGTGCTCTGGTGGTGTGAACACTGATGGTAGTGCTCTGGTGGTGTGAACACTGGTGGTGGTGGTGCTCTGGTGGTGTGAACACTGTTGGTGGTGCTCTGGTGGTGTGAACACTGGTGGTGGTGGTGCTCTGGTGGTGTGAACACTGATGGTAGTGCTCTGGTGGTGTGAACACTGGTGGTGGTGGTGCTCTGGTGGTGTGAACACTGGTGGTGTGAACACTGGTGGTGGTGGTGCTCTGGTGGTGTGAACACTGGTGGTGGTGGTGCTCAGGTGATGTGAACACTGGTGGTGTGAACACTGGTGGTGGTGGTGCTCAGGTGGTGTGAACACTGGTGGTGGTGGTGCTCTGGTGGTGTGAACACTGGTGGTGTGAACACTGGTGGTGGTGGTGCTCTGGTGGTGTGAACACTGGTGGTGGTGGTGCTCTGGTGGTGTGAACACTGGTGGTGTGAACACTGGTGGTGGTGGTGCTCAGGTGATGTGAACATTGGTGGTGTGAACACTGGTGGTGGTGGTGCTCAGGTGGTGTGAACACTGGTGGTGGTGGTGCTCTGGTGGTGTGAACACTGGTGGTGTGAACACTGGTGGTGGTGGTGCTCAGGTGATGTGAACACTGGTGGTGTGAACACTGGTGGTGGTGGTGCTCTGGTGGTGTGAACACTGGTGGTGGTGCTCAGGTGGTGTGAACACTGGTGGTGGTGGTGCTCAGGTGATGTGAACACTGGTGGTGGTGCTCAGGTGATGTGAACACTGGTGGTGGTGCTCAGGTGATGTGAACACTGGTGGTGGTGGTGCTCTGGTGGTGTGAACACTGGTGGTGGTGGTGCTCTGGTGGTGTGAACACTGGTGGTGGTGGTGCTCTGGTGGTGTGAACACTGGTGGTGGTGCTCTGGTGGTGTGAACACTGGTGGTGGTGGTGCTCAGGTGGTGTGAACACTGGTGGTGGTGCTCTGGTGGTGTGAACACTGGTGGTGGTGCTCTGGTGGTGTGAACACTGGTGGTGGTGGTGCTCAGGTGGTGTGAACACTGGTGGTGGTGCTCTGGTGGTGTGAACACTGGTGTTGGTGGTGCTCAGGTGATGTGAACACTGGTGGTGGTGCTCTGGTGGTGTGAACACTGGTGGTGGTGGTGCTCAGGTGATGTGAACACTGGTGGTGGTGGTGCTCTGGTGATGTGAACAATGGTGGTGGTGCTCTGGTGGTGTGAACACTGGTGGTGGTGGTGCTCAGGTGATGTGAACACTGGTGGTGGTGGTGCTCTGGTGATGTGAACAATGGTGGTGGTGCTCTGGTGGTGTGAACACTGGTGGTGGTGGTGCTCTGGTGGTGTGAACACTGGTGGTGGTGCTCTGGTGGTGTGAACACTGGTGGTGGTGGTGCTCTGGTGGTGTGAACACTGGTGGTGGTGCTCTGGTGGTGTGAACACTGGTGGTGGTGCTCTGGTGGTGTGAACACTGGTGGTGGTGGTGCTCTGGTGGTGTGAACACTGGTGGTGGTGCTCTGGTGATGTGAACACTGGTGGTGGTGCTCTGGTGGTGTGAACACTGGTGGTGGTGGTGCTCAGGTGGTGTGAACACTGGTGGTGGTGCTCTGGTGGTGTGAACACTGGTGGTGGTGCTCTGGTGATGTGAACACTGGTGGCGGTGCTCTGGTGGTGTGAACACTGGTGGTGGTGGTGCTCTGGTGGTGTGAACACTGGTGGTGGTGCTCAGGTGATGTGAACACTGGTGGTGGTGGTGCTCAGGTGATGTGAACACTGGTGGTGGTGCTCTGGTGGTGTGAACACTGGTGGTGGTGGTGCTCTGGTGGTGTAAACACTGGTGGTGGTGGTGGTGTGAACACTGGTGGTGGTGGTGCTCTGGTGATGTGAACACTGGTGGTGGTGCTCTGGTGGTGTGAACACTGGTGGTGGTGGTGCTCTGGTGGTGTGAACACTGGTGGTGGTGCTCTGGTGATGTGAACACTGGTGGTGGTGCTCTGGTGGTGTGAACACTGGTGGTGGTGCTCTGGTGGTGTGAACACTGGTGGTGGTGCTCTGGTGGTGTGAACACTGGTGGTGGTGGTGCTCTGGTGGTGTGAACACTGGTGGTGGTGGTGCTCTGGTGGTGTGAACACTGGTGGTGGTGCTCTGGTGGTGTGAACACTGGTGGTGGTGGTGCTCTGGTGGTGTGAACACTGGTGGTGGTGGTGCTCTGGTGATGTGAACACTGGTGGTGGTGGTGCTCTGGTGATGTGAACACTGGTGGTGGTGGTGCTCTGGTGGTGTGAACACTGGTGGTGGTGGTGCTCTGGTGGTGTGAACACTGGTGGTGGTGGTGCTCTGGTGGTGTGAACACTGGTGGTGTGAACACTGGTGGTGGTGGTGCTCTGGTGGTGTGAACACTGGTGGTGGTGGTGCTCTGGTGGTGTGAACACTGGTGGTAGTGCTCTGGTGGTGTGAACACTGGTGGTGGTGCTCTGGTGATGTGAACACTGATGGTAGTGCTCTGGTGATGTGAACACTGCTTGTGAACACTCGATAAGGAACAGAAGGCAATATTCACCCCATTCGAACACCCCCCCTCTCCCTCCCCCTCACCCCATACGAACACCCCCCCCCCCTCTCCCTCCCCCTCACCCCATACGTACACCCCCCCCCTCTCCCTCCCCCTCACCCCATACGAACACCCCCCCCCCCCTCTCCCTCCCCCTCACCCCATACGTACACCCCCCCCCCCCCCCTCCGTAGCATCCCACTCTGGACGGATCTTTTCCACCTTAAAAAGCAACATTATTTTTGCAGCGGAGAATTTTCTTTGAGGTGTGTGTGTCCGGGCGGCGCCTTCTTTGTGTGGCTGACGGACCTTTTCAGGCGGGAAGTGATTTCTTCTGTCAGCTTTCACAAGCTTTATTTAAGTTTGATGCTCGGTGAACCCTGGTACGGCAGGCTTGTACGGTACAGGAGGGTTGTACGGTACGGCAGGCTTGTATGGTACGGCAGGCTTGTACGGTATAGGAGGGTTGTACGGTACGGCAGGCTTGTATGGTACGGCAGGCTTGTACGGTACGGCAGGCTTGTATGGTACGGCAGGGTTGTACGGTACGGCAGGCTTGTACGGTACAGGAGGGTTGTATGGTATGGTAGGGTTGTACGGTACGGTAGGTTTGTACGGTACGCTAGGGTTGTACGGTACGGCAGGCTTGTACGGTACAGGAGGGTTGTACGGTATGGTAGGGTTGTACGGTACGGTAGGTTTGTACGGTACGCTAGGGTTGTACGGTACGGCAGGGTTGTACGGTACGGCAGGGTTGTACGGTACGGCAGGGTTGTACGGTACGGCAGGGTTGTACGGTACGGCCGGGTTGAACGGTGCGGCAGGGTTGTATGGTACGGCAGGGTTGTACGGTACGGTAGGCTTGTACAGTACGCCAGGGTTGTACGGTACGGCAGGGTTGTACGGTATGGCAGGCTTGTACGGTATGGCAGGGTTGTACGGTACGCCAGGGTTATACGGTACGGTAGGGTTGTACGGTACGGCAGGGTTGTACGGTACGTCAGGCTTGTACGGTACGGCAGGCTTGTTCGGTACGACAGGGTTGTACGGTACGGCAGGCTTGTACGGTACGCCAGAGTTGTACGGTACGCTAGGGTTGTACGGTACGGCAGGGTTGTACGGTACGGCAGAGTTGTACGGTACGGCAGGGTTGTATGGTACGGCAGGGTTGTACGGTACGGCAGGCTTGTACGGTACGCTAGGGTTGTACGGTACGGCAGGCTTGTATGGTACGGCAGGGTTGTACGGTACGGCAGGCTTATTCGGTACGGCATGGTTGTACGGTACGGCAGGGTTGTACGGTACGGCAGAGTTGTACGGTACGGCAGGGTTGTACGGTACGGCAGGGTTGTACGGTACGGCAAGGTTGTACGGTACGGCAGAGTTGAACGGAGTAGTGAATAAGGAGACAGATTGAGGTAAAAAAATTTCAGAAACGGTTGGGCACTTCCATGCCGACTTGACCCTGTCGGGCCAGATCGTCCATCCCTCTTGTTTTAGGTGGTTAGGTTAGGGCACAGTCAGCGCGCTCCTGGCTGGCTGGCGGTGGTGGGGTGGTGGTCCCCCCCGGGGTCCCGGGGGGACCACCACCCATGGTGTACCTGAGGAACTGGTGCCCTATCCTAACCTGTTTTTTGTTACTTTTTGTCGCCTTGCTTTAAGATGAGTCTATTGCCTCAAGAAGGGGGTCTCTACTTATGAGAGGTACCGAGGATGAATGTTCAATAGTTGGAAACCAAAAAATGCACTGGTGAAAGGCGTATAAACGTTTTTGGAGTATTTTAATGGCATGAGCAAAAATGCACGATTTGTCCCGGGGGTGTTACGAGAGTACTACGGTATCAATTTGGGGGCCCTTACTTTTGAATGGATCAGAGGGTGAATGTTCAATAGATTCAAACCAAGAAACGCAGTTGAAAGCGAATATAGAAGTTTTTGGAGTACTTTAATGAGGCTATGACTGAATAGTATAGGGAGTCCTTGGGCACAGCTCCATTTTCTGTAATGGTCAGAGGTGGATAACCCCAGTGGGGGTCAAGCATACAAGGGGGGGTCAAGATTCCTTACAAAGACCAAGTTTGGATATATAGGTGTAGTAAGCCTTATCTTGAATTTGCATGATACTGTGGGGTACATTGACATGAAGGGCGAGTCATAGAACAGGATCTGCATGTGAGATGGGTCATATTGGGGTTTTAAAGAAGTTAAGATAGCTTTAAAGAGTCCTGTGTGCTTGATAGTGGGGAAATGTTCAGTCAATAATTCTCGTGTTTTGAATCTGAATGAGGGGTCCTAGTTTGCGTTCTAGTCGTAAAATGAGTTCCTTAGTATATTTGCTATGGAAAATGAGCTTTCAGTACTCTATATAATTTGAAATGAGGTCAAGAAAGACATGTTTATGTGCGAGAAGAGTCAGGTTGGAAACTGTTTATTTCAGTCATCCCCCCTTGGCTTTGCTCTGTTTTCTGTAGCTAAAGTAAAGATTCCATTTTCTGTGGTATTCAGTTGAATACTGGTGAAAAAGGCATGCTTGCATTTGTATGGTTCTAACCTGTTTATAGATATATTTTTCGGGCCTCAAATTAGATTTTAATATGAAAAATAGCATCAAATGTATGTCTATCTTTTGTAATAAACGTTACAAGCATTAACAATACCTGTGATATTTCATAGCATACGAAAAGAAGTTTAAATAGTGGGGCCTCAGCCATATTGTGTTGGGGTTGACACTCCAAACATTAATTTGACACTTGTAAATATACTATAAAGGAAAGTAGTTGAGTGGTGTAAGCAATTTAATACATACTGGGAATCTGTTCGTATTCTGTATTAAATTTCATTTTTTAGCATCATAATAGTTTTCAGCTATTGTGGTGGGGGCCCAATAACTTCATATAGCGCGTCGACTTATGTCAGTGCCGTGGTATATCAAGCGCAAAGGTTTTCAGAAAATGTTACACCTCCACCTTTCAAAAAAGTGAAAAGATGAATTCATTTTGGCATTACTGTCATTACTTTGGAAGTTTTTTAATTATAGCACATGCTTCAACAAACTCGCTGGAAAAAACAAACTCATTTTTTTTTTTTTTTTTTAACTTACACAAATAAACCCAGGGCTTTCACATTCGTGCAAAATACTTAGTCCCCCCTAAACTTAAAACAGTTGCACAATCTTACTTAAACACATTGCTAAACTCTTATACACAAACAAAAACTCAATTTTTAACTTACACAAATAAACCCAGGGCTTTCACATTCGCGCAAAATACTTAGTCCCCCCTAAACTTAAAATAGTTGCACAATCTTACTTAAACACATTGCTAAACTCTTATACACACAAACAAAAACTCAATTTTTAACTTACACAAATAAACCCAGGGCTTTCACATTCGCGCAAAATACTTAGTCCCCCCTAAACTTGAACACTCACAATCTTACGGTGCTTTAATTTCCAAAGCCTTCCAAACCTGCACTGGGTCCTGCCCAGCTGACTTTTTTTTTTTTTTTTTTTTGAGATATATACAAGAGTTGTTACATTCTTGTACAAGACTTGGACTGCGGCTGGATGGATTACAATTGAGCCAAAAACAGTTGGTCAGGGCGAGATACGGCCTCATTTTTAGAGACATTTACTATAGCAAAAGCTTGAACGTCGAGAACTGAATGCGGGCCTGCACGAGAGTTGTTCTTGGCACTCAAATGTTTAGAGATTAAAATACATAGAATCTGCAAGAGCCCACCCAAGTCGCTCACGCGGGCAATAGACATGTTTTTCGCCCAAGTGTATTTATTTAAAATAAAAATACGTCAGATAGAAAGATTTTCGCATTGCTATTATATTTACCTTATAAAGCCTCTTTATAAAAATGATATGCCACTGCGTATTATGATTGTTTTATATTAAATATTGCATAAATACTTACACGATTTCATAAACAAAAAATTATTTTAATGAGCCATGTTAGGAAGGCATCATCATTACAATAAATGCAAACTTTTAAACTAACTAAAAATTATATATCTCATAGAGGAAGATTTATTCTTCAGGATATATATTATTGTTTAAGAGTTTCATTCTGTATCAAAAGGTTGTCAATGTTTTCAAAACTCTGGCCTACAAATTTTTTTTTAAGGTTTTCCGAGGGAGATCTTGCTTCCTCTTTCTCCCACAGTGTGTGTCCTCATTTGGACCGGATGCAGAGTAACCTTCAGTGCAAGTCCTGACTCAGTTCCCCAACGTCCAAACTATTGGACATTGCAAAATTTCACTAAATAATGCGGTATTTTAGTTGCCCCCTCTAATTATAGAGATTTTAATCTCTAAACATTTGAGTGTCAAGAACAACTCTCGTGCAGGCCCGCGTTCAGTCCCCGACGTTCAAGCTTTTTTCTATAGTAAATGTCTCTAAAATGAGGCCGTATCTCGCCCTGACCAACTGTTTTGGGCTCAATTGTAACCCATCCAGCAGCAGTCTGCTGGATAGAAGGGCAGTGGGCCTGATAAAAAAAAAAAAAAAAAAAAAATAAACATAAATTGTTAGACTAGCTCTTTACATATGCTAGTTGTTTAATTTATTAGATGATGATGCAAGAGGAGCCAGTACACATCTATGGATCAACCAATAAAAGCAGCAGACTTCTAGATGTTACTACTGCTCGGCTTAGCCCCCCCCCCCCCCCCCCCCCCCCCCCCGTAGCAAGATGGGAATAGGGGGGGGGGCTGCATTAATAAAATGAATTAAAACTAACATTCAATTATTTATTCTCAAACTTATGCAAAAAAAACTTTACAATCACATTTGCAAAACTTGCACAACTTAATTTTGGCAATTTCGTTTACCCATTATTTGTTTGTTTTTCTTGCTTGAGCCAAAAATGAATTGTTGGGTTCATTACCAGAGTCCATTTCCCACCGTGGTAACCCTTCCCACTACCCGCCCCACATGATGGGATTCATAATAAATGAACTAAACTAGCATTCAATTATATTCTCAACAAACTTATGCAACCCCCATATAATTACATTAGCAAGCTAACACAAATTCATTGAGCAAGTTTAACTATTCGCATACTTTGCGTCATTATATAATGGAATACGAAAAGGAAATTCGCAGAATTCAGAGATAACACCATCAATGGAGTCCAAGAAATACGCTTGTACTTCATTCATAATGATGCGCTGCCAGGAATCTTAGCAAAGTAACCAAAATATTTGCTTACTGTATGTATGTGCAGGATGCACATGACTCTCCGGTTAGGTGGTTGTGGAGTGAGACCAGCAACTGCAGACTTCCCATAGTCGTAAAAATGCCTTGCATAGAGACCGTTGCAAGCCTCTTGTTGAATCACTTAGGGTGCATATATGTGTGTGTACTCACCTAATTGTACTCACCTAATTGTGCTTGCGGGGGTTGAGCTCTGGCTCTTTGGTCCCGCCTCTCAACCGTCAATCAACTGGTGTACAGATTCCTGAGCCTATTGGGCTCTATCATATCTACATTTGAAACTGTGTATGGAGTCAGCCTCCACCACATCACTTCCTAATGCATTCCATTTACTAACTACTCTGACACTGAAAAAGTTCTTTCTAACGTCTCTGTGGCTCATTTGGGTACTCAGCTTCCACCTGTGTCCCCTTGTTCGCGTCCCACCAGTGTTGAATAGTTCATCCTTGTTTACCCGGTCGATTCCCCTGAGGATTTTGTAGGTTGTGATCATGTCCCCCCTTACTCTTCTGTCTTCCAGTGTCGTAAGGTGCATTTCCCGCAGCCTTTCCTCATAACTCGTGCCTCTTAGTTCTGGGACTAGTCTAGTAGCATACCTTTGGACTTTTTCCAGCTTCGTCTTGTGCTTGACAAGGTACGGGCTCCATGCTGGGGCCGCATACTCCAGGATTGGTCTTACATATGTGGTGTACAAGATTCTGAATGATTCCTTACACAGGTTCCTGAACGCCGTTCTGATGTTAGCCAGCCTCGCATATGCCGCAGACGTTATTCTCTTTATGTGGGCTTCAGGAGACAGGTTTGGTGTGATATCAACTCCTAGATCTTTCTCTCTGTCTGTTTCATTAATGTGTGTGTGGGTGTGTGTGTGTGTGTGTGTGTGTGTGTGTGTGTGTGTGTGTGTGTGTGTGTGTGTGTGTGTGTGTGTGTGTGTGTGTGTGTATGTAACGAGCTTTCAAGAGATTGTCACTTACATAGCTAAACAATATGTATGGTTCAGTTTCCAAATCAATTATGCGGCTCTCGAACCCTTTTCCCCCGCTACATGC